AAAATGGTAAGCAAAACTTTATTCAAAACTGTTGCAGTAGGGGTCAAGACTGCTGCAATGGAGCAGAAAGATTAAACACAACTCTGAGTACAAGGACAAGTAGGGATTTATAGCCAATGAGCAGAATGACAAGAGTCAATGGATGGAAAATTACTAACAGAAACTTGATTAAATTTCAAGGATAATGTTATTCTTACTAAATTGGCCTAATAGGATTCTTGCTAAAAGCAGGCCATGGACATAGACAGTAAGGAGCTTGAATGGCATATTTGGATTTTGTTACTTTTCAAGTTTCTCTTATTTTTCTTCTCAACTCTGCTCAGATAAAAAATTTGTTCTTCCAATAAAGTTATTTATACTCATTATAATTTGTAAAATATTTTAATTTGGAAGTTAATATGATTGAGGGGACATACAGTTCCTTAAGAGATGTTTCCATAACTTTATAGTTCATGTAGTCAGGAATTAATTTTCCCAATGCATAGAATACAGGGCACAAAACCTAGACAAAGAATGCAAAGAATGCAACTTCAAGGGGAAACTTTGTCTATGCCTATCTTCCTATCTGCATATATATGTATCATCAATTCTGGTCTTTGCACAGTTCTACTCATGGCATATTCCTCTTCCTTCCTCTAGGCTTTTTGCTTTTCTTTTTAACTGCCAAAATGTATTTTCTCCGTACAACATTTCAAGCCTCTCATGATGTGAAAGGCTTACTCTTCTGAAAAGGCCTAATTTTCTGAAAATTAGAATTTTGGGTTTACCAACCCGAGATCCAGCTACATTTGTTTAGCCTGAAGTCTTCACGTGTTGCCTCTGCCAGAGGCACATCCTTTTCCAAAAAGTGGCCCAGTATCAATTGTTCGATTTCATTAACATGCCAACCTTGTGCCAGTGACTACAGCTGCCTTGCTACTGGTTTGATATTTACAAAGCATGCAATGTACAGGAATTTAGTTTCTGTTTTATTGTAGAGAGGAGTTATCAGTACTTTCCTGCCTCACACCTCAAATACATTTTTAAATGTAGCTTTCAGTATAGCATGTTTTGCCTGTAGCACGTTTGCATTGCAGCATCAGTAATTCCAAATTAAATTCTCACTGAGATCATCAGGCAAGCAATTATTGGCAATTGCTTGCTTTTACAGAAAAGCCAAATTATGCCCTAAGTTTATGGTTAAGTTATAATAATATAATACACATACACACAGATGCTATATTGCAGACAGAGTAGACTATGAGTCAGGTATTAATAGTTACATTAATGTGTGTGATTTTCATATTGAGCTATATATATATTACATGCAAATACATTATTTATAAACCTCTCTCTAGCATATTATAATGCTAAAGAGGTTATAGTTCATATAGATTAAGCAATAATAAAATATCTTAAAGATAGAGCTAGAGCTAGAAATGGATATAGATATAGCTTAACTTTTGACTTTGAATATTGGGAAGTTTTGCTTCTCTTAAGATTGCACCCTAATTAGTTATACATTCTTAGGTTTTGCACTTAATCTTCCCAGGTCTTGAAAAAGTTTTTTCTTTCCTCTTCTCCTTGAAAATACCTTCTGATCAATTTAACTGAACCACTGAATTAAAAATTAACTGACAGTTTAATATCCAGTAAATTTAATGTACAGTTTTAGAGAACCACGTAAGCATCTTACGTTGTGTAAGCAATCAGGTATATAATTGTGACCAAGACAAATCTTATTTTATTAAAGTATAATTGACTTACAATATTTCATTAGTTTCAGCTGTACAACATAGTGATTTGATATTTTTATACATCAGGAGAAGATCACCAGGATAAGTCTAATTATCACCATAAAAATTACTACTAGATTATTACTACTGTCTATATTCCTTAGGCCATCCATACACACATTACATTCTTGAGACTTATTCATTTTATAACTTGAAGTTTGTTCCTCTTAATCTCCTTCCCCATGGCAGCTGAAAATTTTTTCTCTGTATCTATGAGTCTGTTTCTGTTTTGTTATGTTTGTTTATTTGTTTTGTTTCTCAGATTTCACATGTAAGTGAAGTCATATGGTACTTGTCTTTTTCTGTCTGACTTACATCACTTAGCATAATACCGTCTAGATTCATACATGTTGTCACAAATGGCAAGATTTCATTTTTTTATGGCTGAGTTATATTTCATTTTGTGTGTGTGTATATATATATATATATATATATACCATATCTTCTTTTTAAAAAAAAAAGTAGTCAATTTTATTCTCCTTAAAGCACAAAATAGAGTCTTTGGTTGTACAAACATCACTAGTTATAGTCTTACCAGGAGGTCCTGGCTGGGGTCGGGCCATTAGTCAGCAGCCAGAATTCCTGAAAAGACCTCTTTTACATTTTTTTGGAGTATAATTGCTTTACAATGGTGTGTTAGTTTCTGCTTTATAACAAAGTGAATCAGTTATACATATACATATGTTCCCATATCTCTTCCCTCTTGTGTCTCCCTCCCTCCCACCCTCCCTATCCCACCCCTCCAGGCAGTCACAAAGCACTGAGCTGATCTCTTTGTGCTATGCGGCTGCTTCCCACTAGCTATCTATTTTATGTTTGGTAGTGTATATATGTCCATGCCTCTCTCTGGCTTTGTAACAGCTTACCCTTCTCCCTCCCCATATCCTCAAGTCCATTCTCTGGTAGGTCTGTGTCTTTATTCCTGTCTTACCCCTAGGTTCTTCATGACATTTTTTTTTCCTTAAATTCCATACAGTCTTTGTCTTTCTCTTTCTGACTTACTTCACTCTGTATGACAGACTCTAGGTCTATCCACCTCATTACAAATAGTTCAATTTTGTTTCTTTTTATGGCTGAGTAATATTCCATTGTATATATGTGTCACATCTTCTTTATCCATTCATCCAGTGATGGACACTTAGGTTGTTTCCATCTCCGGGCTATTGTAAATAGAGCTGCAATGAACATTTTGGTACATGACCCTTTTTGAATTATGGTTTTTTCAGGGCATATGCCCAGTAGTAGGATTGCTAACAGCCGGGTTAAATGATTCGAGGCAAGGGTGGCGTTGGAGCCGGCAGGGACCCCACCCCAATATACCATATCTTCTTTATCTGTTAAACCCATAAGATTCAGATTATTTGGTGGAGAAACAATCATATATCAATAAATCATTCCAATTTCTATGACCATCCTGAGGGAGAACATAGGATCTGTGGGAACACAAAGTAAGGGAACTAACCCACAATTGAAGGTTGTGGAAAGGCTGTGTTAAGTTAGCGTGGAGCTTAGTTTTGAAGGCAGCCAGGTAAAGGGAAGGACAGGCACATTGCAGTAAGGGAAAACCATAAGCAGATACATCTGTGTAATATTAGCACACTTGAGTGCCAATATGTGTCACTATTTATCTGATCCTCTTTTGTGGGACATTAAATTGTTTTGAGATTTTGTTATTAAAATAACAATGTGCTAAAAGTCCTTTATATTAACATTTGATAATATTTCTACTTTATTTCTCTGGAGAGATATCTAAGACTAGTTTGCAGAATCAAGATTACAAAGTTTTTTAAGGCTTTTGTGTTCCTGAGGAATTGTCCCAAATATATTCTCCTCAATAATGTGTGATAAAGTCCGCGTCACCAACATATTGCTAGTAGTGAATATTATAATGTTCCTGGGTTGAATAGAAATTCAATGGACCCTAGTTAAAATTGCCCCAGATTCACATACCACACCTACAACTTTGTACTAGAGTAAGCTTGATAGCTCTTACTCCAGATCCCTCATGCTTATGACAAAGTAACACCTTCCTCACAAAGTCATGAAAAAGGTTAAATGAAATAAAATGTATAAGCTTATTGTCATATAGAAAGCATTCAATAAACATTTCATGCTTCTATGTGAGATTGGCATTGAAAACATACAGTAAAACATGTATAGGACAAGAATATTTAAATAATTATTTCTGCGTTTGTACTGGAGATTATAATTCTTATATTACATATCTGATATATAATCTGTTGATATAACAAAATTGGTAGAAGATCATCTTTAAGTAACTTGGGTAGTAAAACAAAAGGTTTAATTTAGGCAGTTTGAAATTGATAACATGAGGGATATTAAGTTTTAAATAGTTAATATTAGTAGCAACAATAATCAGTATAAATACCAGCAACGTTTTAGCTACCACTTAAGAGTATGTTATGTAGAAATTTGTAAAATGAATCCTCTCAATTGTACAGTCAAGATATTGAGACTCAGAGAAGTTATGGTTGCTTGGCATTTGGGCTATGTCATAGTTCTTGAATGGAACACGACTAAAAACCATGTCTGTGTCTTCAAAATTAGGTTTCTTCAATAAAATGATATAATGCATTTATAACGTATTTTCTATTTTCTCTTACCTATCATTACAGAGGTCTGGTGTAGGGCCCTGACAGTTGACACAGCATTATGGAAACTGATTAATATTCAAATTAAATTAAACATACCTGGTTATTAAAAACTGGAAATGACATTTCAGGAAAATATTTGTTGTTTAGTTGTGATATTACCATTTCAATTTAGATTTTATATCTGCCTTAAAATATTTTATAGAAGAAATTATATGACTAGGACAAAGTTAAAAAAATGACACAAGACCACAAATTTTGTTTTATCCTAAACTCTCTATGAGTTGTTTCAGAAATATATTTCACATATGTAGAGAGCCATTAATTTATTTCATGGAAATTTTTGTCAGATTATTAAAAGCAAACAACTCTGAGTGTCACTATTTCATATTTTAATAATTGGCTGACTGAATATTTTTATATTAATATTAAAATGATTTGATGAAACAGTCAAATGATATATTTTCATTATTTCTGATATCACATATTAAATATATGAAATTAGAATTGCCGTGGCTTCTTTTTGTAGTCAGTAATGATTACTATTGTTTATACTAATTAAATGACTCTCTTAAATAAAAGGTCTGTAATGTTATATTATATTGCTTTACAGATGCTCCCAAGTTCATATCAAACCAAACAATTTATTACTCTTGGGAAGGAAATCCAATCAATATAAGCTGTGATGTGAAATCTAATCCACCGGCATCAGTCCATTGGAGAAGAGAGAAATTAGTCTTGCCAGCTAAAAACACCACTAATTTAAAGACATATAGTGCAGGGAGAAAAATAATATTAGAGGTAAGTCTTCATGTACATATCAACAAATTGCATTACTTTAGCAGTTATCTACTCTTTTAGAACATGTTTAAATATCTTAGTATCTTAATATATAATATATATTTCTATCCTATAATATACATATACCCTATTGTATATATTTCATGTTTACTTACTTGAGGGAACTTTTATGCATTTGGATCATGGTTCATTAATGGTTAATGTCTCACTACTTATATAGTAAAATGGGTATATAGCAAAAGCCATTATTTTTCATGAATTTATCTTTGGAAAAAAAACACAATTGTATCAGGAAAAAAATAGGAAGAAAGAATGCGTAATTTGTCAGTTATTGAGGGCCAAATGTTTAATTTCAGTGTTGCTACTGGACACTGAGTCTGTGGTTACACCTTCCTGCTCCTTAGACTGGTATACATAAATACTATCTACTGGTTACACATTTACAAGTTCCTAAATAAACCAGATTTACTTGTTCATTGTCTCATTTTATTTTATTATTTTACATTAAGATTGTAGATAATTGTTTTTATACTGCCAAGTGCCTGGCCTTTAAATTCTGTTTGAGTACAATACCTTTAATTTAATAATTGAAGATTATGTGTGTGTATATCAATTTCCAAAGTTTATATAAGTCTATGACAATGATCATCAAGCCTCCCAATTTATGATGCTTTCATAACAATTAGGAATCTTCCTCAAACAACCTTTTTAGCTAAAAAGATGCTACATTTTCTCTACTAATTCAATATACATAAATTTTAAAGATGCATGTTTTAGAATAACATTTAAGATCCATACCACATTAACTTAAAGGTATTCGCATTGGTGCCATATTAACACTTCCACCCAATAAATGGACTTAGTGAAACATTTAGTTGATAGAATGATTTAGCTATCACTTCCCCAAATGTTTGCATAGCTGACTGTTTGGTAGTTAAGCCACTTTGTCTAAATCTCTTTCAATTTAAATTTTTTTTTTGGTTTGTTTGTTTTTTGGTATCTGTATTAGAACTATTGTCAAATTGACAGGGAGCTCAAGTTCACAAAGACTTTGGTCAGATTCAATTGAAATTTTAGGTATTTAACCATAGCAGAAAACTGAGGTTCTTTGATTAAATACATATATTCATTTTTTAATTTACGATTTTTTGAAAGTAACAAAACAGTCTATAAATTCTTTGAGTTATTGCCAATAAATGCATTTCTAAAGGACATCCAAATTTGTTCATTTGTTTTGCCTAGGCACTCCCCTGAGGTAAGAGGACAACTTTTCAATATATGAACAAAATTTGATGCAGGAGGTTTCTAATAGGTTAATTGGAATAATATCCTGCTCTGGATCATCTGTGTTGTTCCTTGCCCTGAGTAAAGATGCTAACTGTTAAATAAATGATTTTCTCACCATGGAATATACAGAAAGAGGAAATCAAGTTTTTGAAGGTTTAGGAAAAAGAATTGCAAACTCCTTTATTAACATTGTACTCTCAGTTTATATTTTGGTGTTCAAAACCACATTTGTGGGCTTCCCTGGTGGCGCAGTGCTTGAGAGTCCGCCTGCCGATGCAGGAGACGCGGGTTCGTGCCCCGTTTCGGGAAGATCCCACATGCCGCGGAGCGGCTGGGCCCGTGAGCCATGGCCACTGAGCCTGCGCGTCCGGAGCCTGTGCTTCGCAAATGGGAGAGGCCACAACAGTGAGAGGCCCGCATAACGCAAGGAAAAAAAAAAAAAAAAAAAACCACATTTGTTATTCTGTTATATTCTATCAAAGCCCAACATCTGAAGTAAACTTGAATTATTTTGACTGCATATTAAAATATGAAGAAGTGGTATCATAAGTAGATGTTTCTAGCACTTATTAGATAAATATCAACAATAATTTGCATATTTTAAACATTTAAATATTTTAAATAAATATATAATGTATCTTTGTTGTATATTATTTTGATAAAATTATCTATTATTTCACTGTGCTGGGATTGGGTGTACAACCACTATTGGACTTTACTGCTTTCCTAGAATACACCAAATATACTCCAGGGCACATGATTTGGCCCAGTTGTCTAGATCTGTGTGTTTTTAATAGTCTGTGCTACTAGGGGTATTTTCTGTATTTGTTAATCACAAAACACGATAAAGAAATTATTTCAGATAGAATTATAAAGCTTTTATCTTTTGATAGGCAAACTCCCAGGAACAGAAAAACAACTGAATTGTGCTTTTTAAAGTTTTATTCCAGTTAAAATAGGTATATTTACGTTACTTCATTAATCTTGAGGAGCTGTGCAATAGTCAGGATTCTTTGTCACGGCCATCCTGTCTTTGCGTTGCATTGATTCAGTACACATTCTTCCCTATGGGGTATACAAATGACTTTCTCATATGCCTGTAGAATAAATACATTTTTTTGGTCAAATTCCTTTCTCAATAGTAAAATTATTTTAGAGTTAAATTAACCTAATTTATTAAAACCTGAATGTATGAAAAATGAACATTTTAGTCATTTAGAAGTACTTATATAAGAGCTGTTAAAGCCTCTAGTCCTTAAACGTATGATCTATTCCTAGATGGACAGCTGACTAGAAGATGAATGACACAGCTTTTTTGTACTCTTTCAGAATTATCATCTTCAATGGACCTCAAAATTGCACTTTTAGTTAATAGCCTCCCATTATCACAAAACCATTTCCCCCTTTGGGGACAGACTTGAAATTAACAGCAACTCTTGTTGTAAGCATATTCTCTCTTAATAATAGTAACTGGGATTGAAAATTATATCTTTACTATCATCAAATCTCTTTTCTGAATTGATACTTCAGAATTTCGGTACATTATAATTACAGGGTTGGTCCCACCATTCAGCAATAGAATCCCAGAATGTTAACTTAATTATGGATTTCAAATGTGTAAGGACTGAGGTCAGCTATTTTCCACCTAAACTGAAAGAGAATTATAGGAATTGAACAGAAATGGAGGCAAGATACTGTTATTAGATATCAAGATAATGTGCCTATCTACAGGAATTGCTACACAAGGGCAATATTTCCTTGCAAAATGCCTTCCTGGAAAGATTTTTCTTTTCAATGGGTCCTTGTCTTTTGTTAGTATTTTATGTTCAATAAAGTCATAAGAGGAAGAGAAAGCTGACATATTTCGAGCCTTTCTTAACTTTAAATCTGCCTGATCTTAGGCTACAACCTAGAAAACAGTTAACAATGCTTTTCGTACAAGATTCCTATTTTCAAAGTCAGGTCTGTAGCAATTACAGAATACATATTTTCCAAACTGTGTACTACTTTCTGAACTTTCATAGGTAAATATCTAATGATTTTTCTATTCAATATATGTAACAAAATACTGGCACTTACTTAATAAATTGGTAGACTAACTTACCAATTGGTAGACTAATTTATCTGGGCCTATGGGTAGTACAGATCCATGGATTACATCTTAAAAGGACAGAAAAAAGAGGTATGGCAGGGAGTTGTGAATAATTGAATATGTGTAAAGATGGTAAGGCATGCTAGAGGCTATTTTAAAATTTCTGTGATATTGTTTTAAAATTGTGAATTTTTATTATTATAATTATTTTAGATTGCACCTACATCTGACAATGACTTTGGACGATATAATTGCACAGCCACTAACCGTATAGGAACAAGATTTCAAGAATATATTCTTGCTTTGGCTGGTAAGTATAGCACAGTAATTTCTGAGAATTCATAAAATATTTCTGGAAGCAAATAGTGTTTACATTTTGATAATCCTGATACAGGTTACTATTAGAAACAAAGAACTGCTGCTTAAAAATTTAGAACAGTTGTATCTGATATATAGTGAGGACTTCAAGATTAATTTTAACCCTGATTCTAATTCCCCCAACTTTATATATAACACATCTATGAAAGAAGTAGGAAACATATGTCTTAAGACATCAAATTACATTTCATGTAGAGTAAGAATCTTGTCAAAAAATAAAAACGAAAGATATCTTTAGAGAAAATGAAATTAATCTATTTTAAAATTCTAAATTTGAAAGAACAAATAGTAACCTTATTTTTAAGCTAAATAGAAAATTTAGAGTTATGTAACTCTAAAATGTTTCATTTTGTATATATAAAAGCATTCCAATTCTTCCCTTAAAGCTTAAAGATATAAAAATAATATCATGTAGATTAAAATTTACTTTAACTAGAAACCCTGATACGTTTTTATTTATATTTATGTGAATATATACAAGCACATATAGTTATAGAATTTGCCATTATGTTTTACAAGACTGATTAGGAATCTGGAAATATCCATTTTTATGCTTTGCAAAGTTCAGATGATGCAAAAATGTGATCTATTGTCTTCTAAGTCCAGGTCAAGAAATATCAGAAAATTACTGTAATCTTATGTTTTGATAGAATAAATAACTTCCATTAAAATATTTTAAAACTTTTTCAGACTTCAGATATGTAACTATTCTTTTATATTGTTATGAATGATATTTATTTCTTTTGATTTGTACGTATATCTCAAAATAAATCATTAGTTGTAAAGATCAAAAGGGAACTTTAAAAGTTTACAAAGCTAATAATAATCAAATTATTATGTAACTGGAAAACCTGCTATACTCCAATTCAAGTTTTATTTTACTACACTGGGGGAAAAGGGAGAGAAGGATTGTGTGAAAGAGTTTTAGGGAAGGAAACAAGAAGGAAAAAGTTAAGATGAGAGGTAAAGATAGAAGGGAAAGGAGGCCAGAGGGATGAAATAAGGAAGGAAATAAACCACTGTGCACTGTCTGCCAGGAAGTCATTAGAAAACTAATCTCAGTGAAAGTCATTGGAAGTAGACACTACACATTCAGGCATCTGAATAAACCATAATACAAACAAATTAAATTCTAGGAAAGTGAAACATATTAAATCACATCAAATTCATTGACAATAAATTGAAGTATCAGCTCTAATGGTGAGAATTCATTACTCATATTAATTCCAAGCCTTAGTAAATTAGGCAATGTTCTTGTAATTAGTATGAACTTTTTATAAATAATAACTAGACATATGATTATTATATTACTATATATATTTATGTATAATTATATTAATACTGATGTACTGTTATATATTGCCTTTTTTTTACGAGACAATGTATATGACCCAGCTTTCTATAAGGTAAAACTTGATAAATGACCACATATTTTTTTCAGTTTTTGAGAGTTCATAATTCTAAGAAAATATGAAAAATAGAACATTAAACTGTCGATATTTAAACAATCTTATTAAATTCAAGGAAATACTAATGTCTGTGTACCTTCATATCTCATATTACTTACAGTAGTATTTTTCATTAAAAAATATATTTTGTACATATATTTCTAATGAAGATATGAAATTAGTGAGTTTTCCTCTTTCCCACTATAATAAAAAAACAGAAAATGTTCATTCAAGATAAGAGTTATTATGTTATTGGAAATATTTCTCAAATACTGCTATTATCCTCATATTCCAAAATTTTGTGACTAACACAGGCTAAAATTTTGTTTCAGAAAATATATATTCAACTGAAATTGTTATGAAGATATAAAAATGAATTAGACACTGTATCTTAGGTGGGAAACATACCTTTAAATATCAATATTTATGAATATGATTCCTTTGAGGAGACTATTTAATGCTTATAAAATTAAATCTTTCTTACAGAATTCAAACACTAAAAGTATAGTGTGATTTTAAATGAAATATTATGAGAAACATTATATAGAAATTTAAATATTTCAAAATATATGTTAATACCACCATTCAATATGTCATTGGCCTATCTGACCTAGTAAAAGGTCAAGCTCATTTGACTTATTTTATTTTACACTGTAACGTATTATTTTGTTCCCAAAGAGCAATAAATTAAAACAGGCAAAATTTAGCATGAAATTTTGTACTACATATTCAGTGAAAAAAGGAAAAGCTACATTTTAAATTATTTTGCATCAAAAATATTTTTTTTCCCTCCTTTCTTCCTTCTTTCCTTCCATTTTTACCCTCCTGAATAATTAAGTCCTACCTCTGAACAAGGTAGGCATTTGTATGTGGATGGGGTAGGGCACAGCAGCCTGGCATAGGGTGCTAGACCCTGAAGGGAATGAAATGGAGTTAAGGGGTCTTCAGTGGTTCAGTGTTGGAGCCCTGGCTGTGTGAAAAGGATGTGCCTGTTTTAAAACAGAAACAGTAACCCAGAGAGGAGTATTAGAACCTGATCAGAGTAAGGAGTGTTTTAAATAAAGGAGTTGGAGCAGTGATGGATGATTCATTTCTGCAAAGTTGGTAGGGTTAGCATGGCTAATATAGCTAATATAGCTATTTCACCTTTGGAGAAGAGATTGGGAAAAGGCAAAAATTAGATTGACCCTGGGATGATGATTGGTTATTGGGGGTACTCTGGTCTTATGTACATAGATGAATAGAGAAAAGAAGTGAAGGTGGTGTGTGTGTGTGTGTGTGTGTGTGCGCGTGCGTGTGTGTGTGTGTTCAGCCACTTCTACAAGGAGCTTCCTTTGCCAGGAATGTGATTTAGAAAACAATTTCTGAGCAAATTCTACACACTGAGATGATTTGGGAGCTACAACATCCCAATAACAAAAGAGCACACTTGGCAGATAGATCTTGGTTTCTAAGTACCCTTCTTCACTGGGAGTAACCAGGGCTGTTTGTAAAATTGGCTGATTCTAGGAGTGGGACAGAGAAGTACAAGATAAGCCTGGCATAATGTGTTGAGCCATAAAGAAAGGTTTTTTTTTTTTTTTAAAGGATGGCTGTATGTTAAAAACATTCATTACCCAACTTTAACAAACATCAGAATATACATTAATTCAGCTAAGGAACATCAATGGTTGGTAAAGAGGTTGTGAGAGTTAGATGAGAAAAAATCAATATATTCTTAAAGTACCTACTCCCAAATTATTAGTTAATTACAAAGGGAAAAATAATAACTTTACAGTTGATAAAACTAGTAGATCCCATTTCTATTAAGTGATCAAAGTTAATATCATTAGCAATGAGAAAGTTAAACTTTCATACTATCAAAAAGAGGCATTGGGAAGAACACAGAATAACAGCTGTGATATTCTTGCCAAAAATGCATAATGAGAATATAGTGTGAGGAGATATAAGACAAATCCAAATTGAGGTACCATCGACAAAATAACTAGCCTTTAAAGTGCCAAAGCTGGGGCTTCCCTGGTGGCGCAGTGGTTGAGAGTCCGCCTGCCCATGCAGGGGACGCGGGTTTGTGCCCCGGTCCGGGAAGATCCCACATGCCGCCGTGCGGCTGGGCCGGTGAGCCATGGCCGCTGAGCCTGCGCGTCCGGAGCCTGTGCTCCGCAACGGGAGAGGCCACAACAGTGAGAGGCCCGCGTACCACAAAATTATGACTTAAAGTGTCAAAGCCATGAAAAGCAAGGAATGATTAAGGAAAAGACACATAACAAATAAATTCCATGCATACATCCTTTTGTTGTAAAGGACATTATTGGAATAAGGTAAAATTTGGTTGTGGTCTTTGGATTAGATGGCAATTTAATTATTTCATAGATCTTATGTAGGAGGATGTTGTGTTGCAGAAAGTAAATGCTAAAGCTAGCATCATGTCAACTTACTTTAAATAGTTCAGATTAAAAAGAAAAGTTCCATGCACTATTCTTGCAAATTTTTTATAAATATACATTTATTCTAAAAGTAAAAAGGATAAAAAGGAAAGAAACTAAGGCCAATAAACAAATATGCATAAGATAGATCCGCTTTAGAAAAGCAACATAACTTGTGAACACAGGTGACTATCTTAATAAATAGCCACATCTTTTGCATGTGTGCATACATACTTTGATATATGATCCTGTAAGTTGCTTCAAAATATTAAGAGCATTTTTCATATTAAATAATCATTTATTCACACACTACTAATGTTTTAAAATATGCAGGTATAATTTTCACTCTAAAATATAGCAATTTATTTAGACATTTCTTTTAAATCTCTTAATAAGTATGATGATAGCATTGTTCTTAACAATGGAGATACAGTCTTCAGTAACAGTGAAAATATAACAGGGTATAGAAATAGGCATATGGATGCCACTCATACTCATGAGCTGGATATTTCACCTCCATGCCTCCCACTTATTTTGCCATTATCTCTGTTGGGAAAGAACAGCTATATAAAGTTATAGTAAGAAGAGATAGAAATGATTAGATAAATTGAATCATGAGTGCTCATCTTCATAATTGTCATAGTAGTTCAGTGAATTACATGTGATATTTATACCTATTTTATAGAAGAAAGTTGCATTCACAAATTAGGAAAAAATATGTAAAAACACATTTGTTGTTATATCTATCGTTATAACAATTTAAATAATGAGTAGACTAAAATATTGGCTAGATCAAAGTGCTCCAGAGGGCAGCATTCCTTTTTATGGTACCATTCTACATATGACCTTAATGGGTCAAGTTCTATTCTTTAACCCCATCTTTGTTTTTACATTTTCATAAAAGTAATACCAAGGAACCTATGATTGTTCATTTCTAGAATGATTGTTTTTTAAATAAGACATATTTCACTGTGCTTTGATTAAATCACAAAAACCCTTCTATTAAACTCTGGCTTCATATTCATGGGCAAAGATTGGTCCAGTCCTCTCTGGTCTGGTTC